GTTGGTGGACGAGCTTCCTCGCCGGTCAGTTCGCCCAGCAACCGACGCAGCCAGACTGCCTGGCATGCCGCTGTGGCTGCCGCCACGTACTCTGCCTCGCACGTAGACAGCGCCACAATCTTTTGCTTCAGCGACTGCCATGAGATTGGGGCCGATCCAAGAAATACGAGCACACCGGAAGTGCTCTTCCGCCCATCAATGTCGCCTGCCATGTCTGCATCGCTGAAAACCGTGAGTCGCAGCTCACTTCCGTCGCCGGTCTTGGGGAAAATGATGCCCTGATCCACCGTCCCTTGACATAGCGCAACAGTCGTTTTACTGCAGCCCAATGATCCTCTCGAGGATCCTCCATGAAGCGACTGACATAGCCCACGGCGAATGCGATATCTGGCCTCGTGTGGACTAGGTAGCGCAGCCCGCCGACGATACCCCGGTAGAGTGTTGCATCCACCTTCGCCGCGGTGCTGGCTTTCGTCAGCTTCAGCCGCTCCTCCATCGGAGTCGCGCATGACTTGCAATCATCCATGCCGCTCCGCTCCAACAGCTTCCCTGCATACGCACGCTGGCAGAGAGTAATGGAGTCTCTTCCCTGCTTCACCTCGATGCCGAGATAGTAGGAGAGCTGCCCGAGATCGCTCATGCGGAAACGAGCTGCCATCTCGCGCTTGAAGCCGTTGATGTCCCCTTCTCATGCCCCAGTGATGATCAAATCATCCACATACACGCCGACGACGAGCTCCTCCTTCCCCCGTCGTCGCGTGTAGAGCGCATGTTCTGTCGCGCAACGCGTGAACCCAAGCGTAACCAGGGTGGCATCGAGTTTGGCGTTCCACGCTCGTGGGGCTTGACGCAGCCCATAGAGTGCCTTCCGCAGCCGCAACACCTTGTGCTGCTCTCCCTTAACGACGAAGCCCGGGGCTTGCTTGACGTGGACAGTCTCCGCTAGCTTGCCGTTGAGGAAGGCCGATTTCACGTCTAGGTGATGAATGCGCCAGTTTTTCGCCGCCGCCATGGCCAACAGTAGGCGAACTGACTCCATGCGCGCCACTGGTGCAAAAACTTCCTCAAAGTCAATGCCCTCACGCTGGACGAAACCGCGAGCAACGAGGCGCGCCTTATGCTTGACTATGGCGCCACTCTCGTCCCGCTTGACAAAGGCAGTCGCCTCTGCTTCCCTGCCAGGCAGCTATCGCACAGCTCACCTTCGTGCTCGATGTGCGGGAGCCCACGCACCATCTTCCTCAGCCGACCGAGTGCGTCGAAGCTCAAATGGCCGAACCGAGCATGCCATAGCCATGGCTCCTCAGTGTGCCGTGCCGCCAAGCACACCGGTTGCTCCACTTTCAAGTCGAGGAGGTAGAGTCGGTTCCTGGAACGCTGGACCTTAGCCAGCAGCCGCTGTTCTCGGTCCTGGAGCTCTAGCACGCCGCCTTTGACAAGCACCTCGTAGTCGTGCTCGTCCAGTTGCCCGATGCTGATGATGCTTGAACGCAACTGCGGGATATAGTACACAACCGTCAATGCGCGGTGCTCGCCGTTCTGGCACCGGAAGATGACAGTGCCGCGACCTCGAATTTCCACCTTCGAGCCGTCGCCGAACTTCACTGTCCCCGTCACGCTGTCATCAAGCTCGGAGAAAGCCTCCTTGGAGCCGGTCATGTGGTTGCTGGCGCCAGAGTCCACGTACCACCTCTGCTCCATGCCACTGGCCATTCGTCCAAGATGGACTTGGGCACTCGACTCGTCGAGGTGAACGGCCTGCAGTGCCTTCCCGTGCTCTGTAGTCGCCGCCTTGACTTCCTCCAACTCTGGCTCGACGTCGTGCAACGTGCAGGTCGTTGCCATGAGAAGAGCTGGCTCCTCGTCGTCCACCTGTGCGAAGTGCGCCTCCCTCTTCTCCTTCTTGGGATTCTTGCAATCCCGGGCCCAGTGCCCTGTCTTCCCGCAGCGTCGACAAGTGTCCTTATCGATCGGACGTGCGTTGTTGCCGTCCTTCTTCTTCTGCGTGGCCTTACCTTGGCGCTTGCCGTAGCCGCCACGGTTGGAGGAGCCTTCCCCGGGTCGCCGCTCACGCATACGAGCTGCCCATTCTTCCTCGGTCAGTAGTAACTTGCCGCTGGTAGTTATTGTCGGCGTCTCCACGCGGTCATCCACTGCCCGCAAGCGCCCAGTCACATCCTCAATCGTGAGGGTGGACATGTCGATCAACGTCTCGATGGAGAGCGCGATCAGGGCATACTTAGGCGGCACGACCCGCAAGTATTTCGCGACCGCCTCCTCGTCGGTGATGGTGACGCCGTGCGCCGCCAGCTGACTGACGAGCGACTGCAAACGGATCGAGAAATCCTCCACTGCCTCGCCGTCGCGGAATGCTAGCGCCTCGTACTCCCGCCGCAGCTGCTGCGCCTTCGCCTTCTTTGCGCGATCAGACCCGATGTGCATGGCCTTGAGGGCGTCCCAAGCAGCCTTTGCGGAGTCCTTTGCGCCCAGCGAC